TTTGAAAGAGATCAAGTATATTACTTTAAATTTGCCAGCACATCTCAACTTGAAAAAAAAGATGATGGTGTATTCAAAGTTCCTTATCCTGTTAATAAATATCCAAATAAGCAAAACCAAACGTCATATGGGAGAGACCCGGAACAATTACTGCTTGTTTTTTCAAAGGGATTATTGTTGACGAAAGTGCTTTATATAAACAAGAATTCGAAGTCAAACAAGTAAAGATTACAAATACGACTGATAATGGGGAGATTGATTATACCACTGGATATGATGTCGTGGATTCAACAATTCCACCGTCTACCGTAACAAAAATTATTGATATGAAACCCATAGCTGTTTTACATCTTAACTATCGTTCTGTAGATTGGCTGGCAAAAATAGGATTTCCTATGACAATTTTAAATAACAATGTTGTCATGGAACAACCAAGAGAGATCATAGAAATTGACGTAGATTCAACAAAAGGAATCATGGATATCGATAACATCAACGTTGACCCGACAACAGAATTCATGGAAATCCTAGACCCAACAAAAGGAATCATGAACGACAACGCCAACGTTGACCCGACAACAGATTTCAAAATTGATAAGAATTCGTGGAAATCCTAACAAAAGGAATCATGAATGATAACATCAACGTTGACCCGACAACAGAATTCCTAGATCCAACAAAAGGAATCATGAACGATAACACCAAAGTTACTCTATCAAAAAGAATCTTAGAAATTGAAAAATCTAACTTTGAAATAAAAAAGGCAAACAAGGTAGTCTACGGAGTTCCAAGATCATTTCAAGTGATAACCGATACGTTTGAAGGTTTCAGAAGAAAACAAGCTGCGAAGTCTCAGGAACCTACTCAAGAAATCATGGAACCTGAAATAAAAAAACCGTCAATTGACGAAACCAATATTTCGAAAACAAATAAAAATCGAAATATCAAGATAAAACGTGTAAACGTAAGAAAATATGAACAAGAAACTTTTATCATGTGACAGTATTTTTTTTTTTTTACGTTTCTTATTTTAGATTTCTATTGTTGAATTTGTTGTAAATATTTTTATTTTATTATAATAAACTTGATATTTTGGGCAGTTTAATTTTTCAGTTAAAAATCCTTTGTTTTATTTATCTATAAATTAATCAACAACAATACATCAACTTCATATCATCAAACATTACCTCCACCAACCTCACCACCCATCATCAACGACCATTTCGGGATTTTTTTTTTATGATAACTTTTTTTAGAAATGTAACAATCAATTTATGAAATATTTAAAAACCTACCTGCAATAAAACTTATTTTTTTTTTTTTTGACTCGCCTATTGCAGTACTTTTCTTTGACCGTTATTTTATTAAATTTTTAATAAAAATAAATAAATTACATTAAAACTTTAGTACATTAGTTACATTATTTAAACAACTTTCTATATTAGTGTTTCAAGCCATGATTAACACAAATTATAAATTTTACACGGAAAATAATCATATATTCTCATTTCACGTTCAATTGTCTCCTCATGATGGAGCAATATTTCTCAATAAACCATGAAACCTTGATAACAAATTTGATTAAAGTTTTATTCAAACTAGAAAAGGGTAAATTATATTAAAATATTGCTTATATAAAAAATTATAATATCAGTGTAACAAAATTGTTTCTAATGGAAAGAAATAAAAACAACGACTTACTCCTCACTTAGTAGATGAACAAATATTTTCTTGCTTTCTCTAACAATAGCAAAATATAATCAAGCAATCAAATATTTGGAACTTCGTAGTAGAATGCAATTTGAGATAAAATAAACGCATGAATTAATTTTATAAATGGTGGTGATGGTGAAGGAGGTGGTAACATTGATGCTGTAACCATTGCTGTTACTGCTGCTGTTGCTGTTGTTACTAACGCTAGTATTGTTGCTGTTATTACTGCTGAGGTGATGATGGTGGTGGTGGTGATGGTAACATTGATGCTGTAACCGTTGTTATTACTGACTAACGTTAGTGTTGTTGTTGTTGTTGCTGCTAAGGTGATGGTGAAGTGGTGGTAATATTGATGCTGTAACCCATTGCTGTTACTGCTGCTGTTGCTGTTGTTACTAACGCTAGTGATGTTGCTGTTGATACTGCTAAGGTGATGATGGTGGTGGTGGTGGTAACATTGATGCTGTAACCGTTGCTATTACTGACTAACGCTAGTGTTGTTGTTGTTGTTGCTGCTAAGGTGATGGTGAAGTGGTGGTAATATTGATGCTGTAACCATTGCTGATGATGCAGTTTATAACCCTTGAAACGCAAACCTGCTAAAATAAAAAAACTAAATAAATATAAATTTCATGATTTTGATGGACGCGTAAATTTCTCAAAAAAAAAAAAAAATAAAAATAAAAAAAAATAGTCACATTTCACATTCCTTTATATTCTATAAGAAAATTCACCAACATTTGATGATCAATAGGTATTGAAGCCCGGCTTAAAATAAAAATTATAATTAATGGATCACGAAAATACAATGACCAATAAAAGTAAAATTTAGATCTACCTTTTAGGTTTTTTTATTCCCAACATATTGCGTCTTGATTAATGCAATCTGGAAAGTAACCCGTAAAGGCTGATCTTTCTCAAATAGAAATATTCGGGAGATTTTCCAACTTTCACGGTTCACAAATTAAAAATATTATGTAAGTATTTATTATTTAGTAACTTAAAATTTTATAAATTACTATTAAATATATACTTTTTATTCCATTTGTACTCTTTAAGGCAAAGAATCTCAAGTTATCTGAAAAAATAAATAATAATTAATAGATTATAACATTCAAAAAAAAAAACAAATAATTTCTCAATTACCTGTTACAAAACCTCGAACTTTCTGTTTTCCGTTCAATATAAAACTTTAACCTTTTTTGGATGAAAATTAATACCGAGCTCTTGAACTTCAATATCATTAAACAAATTTGACCAGGCAGAATCACCAAAACTAACCTTATACACTGGCACTTTTTCAACCATTTGTGTTACTAGGTTGGTTTGCAAGATTTGAATACATTGGAATGCAGATAAAACGGCAAGTCAAATACTATAAAAAAGATATATTATGACTCTCAAATTGGCGCGATATCCAGAGATTAATCAAACGCGCTCTAAATTTAGTAAATTGGCTAACTAACCTAAATTGAACGATCTCTAAATCATCGGCCCAATTTCGGTAATGCATTAAGTTCTTAAGGTTAGAAATTCTCAGAATCTGCATTCTTGTCAATCATTCCTAAACTACTTCCCATTAAACTTTTTTCTAAATATTCTTGTTCAATTTCAAGCCTTCAAGCCTCATTTTATTTTACTCTTTTTGAATTTCTTTCAACTCTTTCAATTCTATTTTAACTTTGTGTTGCAAGTGTTAAAACTGTATGTGAATTAATAAATATATATCGTAGCTCTAACGATGGAGAATGATTATAAAAAAGTGTCTGTTATCAAGTAAGTTTTCATTTAATTTCATGAATGTTTAATACCAAACGGTATATAATTAGTTTAGAAGAGTACTCGTTTCTTGGTGGATTATCCTTGACTTGCTTGTATAATTCTCCGTCACTTTGAAGTGAATGTACTATTCTATTTATGATATACTCGTAAAAATCAAAAACAACTTTCACTAATTGCGAATATTTTATTTCTAACCATTTTTTTATTAAAGAATTACTTATAAGGTTATGGTCTACGTCAAGAACTTGACTGCGGCAGATTGCAAAGTCTTTGCAAATTGTAAAAGTAAAAGCGCCCAATACAAAGTATTGAGGCGCAAATTAATATCGGATAGATTTAGATATAATGTATCTAAACAGGGTGCTAGAAATGAAGAGTGATGTTTACAGCATCGCCGTAAATTGTGGGAGATATCAAGTGGTCGTTGCTCCTTTTTATATCGGAGGGAGTGGTGGATAAATAGTTGTAATAGTCTTAATGCTTAAATTAAATTTTGATAGTTTTCAAGTTTATAATAAATACTCTAATTAAAATTTACAATGGGTTTTCTTAAACTCCATAAAGTAAAATAAAAATTAGAGTTTTTGGTAGGTTAGGATTATGGTTAAGTTAATTTATTTACCAATAAAGAAAATTATGATTATACTATTTGTTTATAATAAATACTTTTAGTTAAAATTTACAATGGGTTTTCTTAAACTCCGTAAAGTAAAATAAAAATTAGAGTTTTTGGTTGGTTAGGATTATGATTAAGTTAATTTATTTACCAATAAAGAAAATTAAATTTTGATAGTTTTCAAGTTTATGATCATACTATTTGTTTATAATAAATACTTTTAATTAAAATTTACAATGTGTTTTCTTAAACTCCATAAAGTAAAATAAAATTTATATTAAAGATTTTGACTAGAGTTTTTTGGAAGGTAAGGGTTATGGTTAAGTTAATTTATTTACTAATAAAGAAATTACATATTTTAAATTGTGCAATCCCACTCATTTTTAAATGGCCTACTTCAAATTAATATTCCTTTTAATTTTACAGAGAAAACTGCATCAGAGTTTGTTCATTTCATTTTCGTTGGCTTCTCCGTTAAATCTAAATACATACATGTAATAACACAAACAACCTTTTAGTCCGGTGAGTAATTTAGCAAAGATGTACCAAATGATTTGCAAACATAGAGAAAAACTTAATAAAAAAGTACGGAATGGATCTTCTGAGTATTAACTAGCAATTTCCTTAGGTGAGTGCCTAAACTTAATTAGTCTCTGTTGAATCCCAAAGATTCTAATGAATTTATTTTCTTGTATATCGGCATTCTTCCATTTCGGCTTGACTACCTTAAACCCATAACGGATGACCCTTTTCCAAGAATAATAATTAAAAGAACGTTCAAAGTAAAGAATCATGGATTTTATTAGTTTTTGAAGTACTAATTCAGGAATAATCTCTATACTCGTTAATTTGGAAGTCAACCATCAAAGAACGGCATGTTCACGTGTTTAAACGTATCTCTCAAATCCTGTTTCAATTAACCATTCCTAGCAGATGACCTAAAGTATGAAAATTTTAATGTCAATTTCATTAAAGTGGTAATGGAAATATTGTATTTTGTATACGAACTGTTTCACTAACCAATATTCTAACATCTAAAAGTCATACTAGGTACATAATTTTTATGACCTGATGCTTAACTGATCCAAAATAAGCACGCTCACATTCTATTGATTTCCTTGTAAAATAAATATCAATTGAAAATAATAAATAATAATAAAATAATACGAAAAATATATTGAATATATGCATTTGCCATGTTATTCTTATTTGTATCAAGCGCCCATAACAAATACCATGCCCGTCTGTGTTCTTTAACTTCATTTTCATATTTATCTGATCAAACCGATGGAGTGAGTTTCGGGTTGCCAGTTGTGATGGTGATTGTTCGAGGAAGGAAAAAAAAAAAGAATTACCATTCCTATCAAAACCTTTTTCATATAAAATGTAAATTTATACAGAAATAAATTGATGCCCGTTTCTCGGAATGATACTCACAGGATATTACCGCATATAGTGTATCTAATTACAAATTGATATATAATCGTAAATATTCCTTTGGATATAACGATAAAAGAGCAACAAATGGAATTTAAAATTACTAACCTACATGTCCGATAAAGTTGAAAATACTCTTTCTATATAATTCCTCAATAACACAGGCTCCGCCTTTTTCGAATTCTCATTAGAAGTTTCGCTTATATTCTCTTCTAGCATAAATAATGATAAAGTGTATTCGTAAAGATAAAGATCACGATGAAATGTCGATTAGTACATGACACAGTAAGTTGATCTGTACACATCTTAGAAAATTTTCAAGCTTTAAATTGCTAAAATTACATTACATTAATACTTACGTCTCTCAACCATGTCAATTTATTTTGAAGAATCCGCGGAAAGTTAGAATTTTTGACGACATTACAGCACAATACTACTCGACAACAACGTTG